CCCTCTGTAGGGTGTGGGCAGACTTGCCTGTCTGCAGCAAGGTGATTCGGTGTCTTCCCCGTGACTCAATAAACTATTTTTCTACCCAGTATAAAAGAGTTGTATATTTTAAGAACTCACAACCTTCCCCCTGTGGCTTTCCCACACGATGAACCAACGCTATTTTCATGGCTCCCAGGTGTCCTCCTTTCCCGAGGTGCTGGTGAGGAAAGGCTGCCTCAGCATCCATGTGACTCAGCATTGACTGTCTGCTGAGGCCTCTTACCTCCATGGCAATATTGACTTGTTCTAAATTCTAAAGCACAGCAATAACCTGTCCTTAATGAGGCTGCTAAGCAAGTGGACACCTCAGTGCAAGGGATCTCGTTTTGCACATGACCATATTCAAAGCAAGAGCTTTTCACACTAGTTATGTCTATGAGTGAGCTGAGACTTTTTCAGTAGCCTTCCTCATGACTGTGTAACAGCATTCCACATAACTGATGATACTGTTGACACTGAAGGCACTTACCTGGGTTAAAAACATGCACACAAACTTCAAAGCTAGAAATGGGAAGACCTAAATGAGTTAAGACCTGAAAATGAGTAAAAGCTAGATTACTGCTGTTAGAATATTTGATATATTTGATTTCAGCTTATATTTACCAGTTTATTTCCAATTAAATATTTTTCAGCTACTCCAAGGAGGTTCAGAGCAGATACTACGTTCTCTATATCTCCAGAAATCCCTTTCATCTTACAACTATATCCATGTTGGAGCTCAATTAAAGGTGAGAATTTCCTCTTTGAGATTTCTCAGATATAGAATCAGACAAAGATCAGAAGGGACATTGAATATTTATCTGGCTGAGCCTCCTGCCTTTAGGCAGATAAATGTCTCTTCTATTCTGCTGTATTTTTAAAATTCTCAGACACAAAGATGCAGTACATTATTGAATTGAAAACTTTGAAAACTTTGCTTAATAATCTATTGCTATATTTTGTCACCATCTAATAGAAGTTTCTATAGTCAGTGTTCTCTTAATTTTTAATTTTTAATCCTATTTCATTTATTTTGACACTAAAAAATATTAGCAGAACTAGTAAGTCTGCCTCCTAAGATTTCATATGATTCAGCCAAAGGCAAACTGGTAAGACAAAACTGAATTAAAAGCATTTTAGTTCTCCATTCACTTTTTTTTTTAATATTGATTTTGATATATCCTAGAAATAGTTTTTTGACCCTTGGGGTATTTGTGTGTATTCTCAACTCTCAAAATTATCCATTTTTTCCTCTTTCTTTGCATGTAAGTGCTGTGTACATATAAGCAGGCACAGTTTTGCTCTTATTTCCAATTTATTTTCTGCTTGTCATTTTACATCTAATACTAATATTAGTTTGTTGATGGTAGATTATAAACCAGTAATCACATTATCCTAGTTTGTAGGAGGGAATGTCTATAAATGTATAGAATAAGATATGGAGAACATAAATCACAACTTTTTCATTATTTGTTTTGTTTTTGGTTTGGATACTGGGGCTCAAACCCAGGAGTGCCCTACCATTGAGCTGCATCCCCAGCCCTTTTACTTTTTTTTTCCCCCCCGCTTTGAGACAAGGTCTCTCTAAGTTGCCCTTGTGGGACTCAAAATTGTGATCCTCCTGCCTCAGCTGCCCTCAGTGCTGGGATTATAGGCATGTACCACTGTGCCTGGCTCATCACATTTAATTGTTTATTAGGAAAGGGTGAGATTATGGATATTTGTCTTTTGCTTTTCTATATTTTTAACTTTTCTGTAATAAAAAGATGTATTACTGTTTTAATTGGGTGAAAAATACAAGAAATTCTAAAAGAAAAGGATCTAAGATGTGGGAGGTATTTACTTTAAAAGATTTCTATATTATTCACCTTATGTTAATTATTCCTTCATTACTAGATTAGCTATATTTTTATTGCTACCCACAAAAATAAATGATACTTAGATCTTTACAATTAATTTTCCATTATTTGACATTTAGTTTGCACATCTTTTTATAGTAGCTTAAGAGCAGAAATACTTGTCTGAAAATTAATTGAAAATCAAATAACAGAGGGCACTCTTCACCTTTCTGAGAATTACCAGAGATATTTAAAGATGTAGAGAATATTGTAAAATCAACACTTTTAAAAAGGCAGTGAAGGGCAGGGGATTTAACTCAGTTGTTCTGCCACCTGCCTCAAAAGCACAAGGACCCAAGTTCAATTCCCGGTAAACCGCCCCCCTCCCAAAAAGGCAGTGACTGACAATATTCCTTTTCAGTGAGATTGTCATATTAACTAAATTACCTTTTTTTGTTAACTAAATTACTTTTGACCAAGTCATGTTGAATTCCCATAGAAAGTATTAATATTCAGCCTTTTTTTCTAAGTTAAGTTCAACTTAGGTTTACTTTTCATTGAAGTTTTCTGTTCCTACTTTTCCTTTATTTTTTTCTTCCTCTCTAACAAACAAAGAACACATGATCATAATCAAAAACCTAAAATAAAGTTGAACCAAAAGGAAACAAAAACTTTTAAATCTTACCATCCAAAGATAATCATTGATAAGTTTATATATATATTTTAAGCTAAAGCATTTGCCAAATCCCAATTAAATAAGCCTGCTTTTATTATATTACAATATAATCATTATCTTTCCATGAAACTACAGATTGCCATAATAATTTTAACAACTGTAAAGTATTGGATTACATATATTTTTAACAAGGCTTAAAATGTAGACATTCTATACAATAAGAGAAGACCCAATTAAAAGTCTTCAGAAACAATAAGGAACTTACTTATCCCACATAATTAATTCAGAAAACCTGAGATGGGGCAGTTCCAGAATTGGTTAATTCATTGCCTTAACAATGTTGTTAGGGACCCAGGTGTTTTTTGTTTCCCCAATTTAAAACCCTTCTCTACTCATTGGACTGGCTCGTATTCTCAGTCTGATTTTCCTCGTGGTCCCAAAATGTCATCAGGAGTTCCAGGAGTCACAGGCAAAGGAAATGTTCCTGGTTCATGTTCTTTAAGTGATGGAGGGGGGACAACACAGTCCCAGCCTCCCTTCACTGTCCCGCACACACACTTTCCACTGTGCCTTATTGATCTGATCAGAACATTGCCACTTGCCCATGGTTTACCAGTCACTTGATAAGGGGAGCCCAGTGATGATTTATCTCCTGAACCTCAGCACAGGCCAGTCATGACAAGGGTGTCCACTGAAGAAGAGTAGACAAACCTTTCTATCTCTAAAAAAGAAATGGGAGTGGGAATGGCTGATAGGGAAGCAGTCGGCAATTTCTCACAATGGGACATTAAGATTTTTTTTTTGGTCCATTTGCTTTGCAATTTCAACATGGTTGCAGTTTATAAAAAGTGTAATGTCTGATATTTGGCTACCTTTTTTATGTGCTAGGAACTAGGGAGGTGCTTTATACAAATTCTCATTTGATTCTCACAGCAATCCTGTAAGGAATGTATTATCATGTAGTTTTTTTAATCCATGAGGAAATTGAGCCTCAGAGAAGTTAAGCATCTTATAAAAGGTTAAAAAAAACTGGTAGGTACAGGGCTGGGGATTTAGCTCAGTGGTTCCGCCGCTTGCCCCACAAGGGGAAGGACATGAGTTTGATCCTCCGAACCAAAAAAACAACAACAAACTAGTAGATGTAGAAGTTTGCCTGGTTTTCTCCTGGGAGCCAGAAAAACATGAGCTCCTCAGGCAGAGAGATCCCTTTCCTGTGCCCTTACTGAGCAGTGACCTCAGGCCAGGTCTCTGTGTTCGGGCAAGAGGGGAACTCACTGAGAAAAAAGGATTAGTCTGTAGCTACCACTTTAGAAAACCTTGTAACATTAGCAGTTACCATTGCTTTGTTGTGAATTTCTGTTTACACATTTATATTTCCAACCTGATGACCACTGCTCCTTAAAGGCAGGTTATTCATCTTTTAATGCCATGGTACCAGTTAGATGATTTGGCTTACCAAATCCTTACCAAGTATAGTCCCAGACTGTTTAACAGCTTGCTGGATGACTTCACTTGCCCTCTTTGCTCTCAGAAGTCTGCTTCTCCTCACCTGGGAAATAAGAAGCCCAATTATACAATAGTGGGAGGGATGTTGCCAGCCTACACAAGACGAATTGTGAAATAAGGAGGCACAAATGATAATGACCAGCCATATGCTTTAGAATCTCCCACATTGAACATTTCCCTTTCTGATCTCACATCCCATGCCGTGGCCTTTACAGACGATGAAGCTGTGATTGGCTTCTCTGAGCCAACTCAAGACAGTAGCATCCAGAAAAGTGCACAGTGCCTGTTTTGGGTGATGGCTTTCATGCACAAGTGTGCTTCCTATGTGCCGAATGATGTTTCCACCTCTGAAATAATTTTTATTTTCCCTGGATATTCATCATCCCTTCCAGTGATTTATCACAAAAGCATCAAGATCTTGGTTAAACATGAATTTAGTTTCATAATTGTTAGATTTTAATGCTCATGTGAAATATTGGTGACTTAAGTCTTCCATTTTTATTTCTAGTCTTCTATCAATGATGCTGCAGAATTCAAAGTAGTAGCTGATGCCATGAAAGTAATTGGCTTCAAACCTGAGGAGATTCAAACAGTATATAAAATTTTGGCTGCTATTCTTCACTTGGTGAGTAGGGATGCCTCTCAGAATATATTTTCTTCGTAGTGGAACAGAATGCTCCTTCAGAAGACTTTTTTTTCCCCTATAGATTTAAAAAAGTAAGGGCTGGAGATTTACCTCAGTGGCACCACACCTGTCTTGCAAGTGCAAGGTCCTGAGTTCGATCTCCGGTACTCCCCCAAATTAAATTTAATTTAAAAGTAATTTATTTAGGGAAAATTTTGCTCACATTTTGAAGAAATTAGTCTGTGGCTCCATTATTTTATATCATGAGGGTTTTTCCAAGCCATAAAAGTTTTGAGACTATGGTTTCAGTTCATTGATATGTCATCAAACCTGGAACTGGTTAATTTCAAGGAGGAAATAATTCAGCAATGATGTGACTACTAACAGAATGAATTTCCAATGGCATTTGAAGGATTTTTTTTTTTTTGGTACCGGGGATTGAACTCGGGTCCTTGCACTTGTGTAGCAGGCAGCAAAACCACTGAGCTAAATCCCCAGCCCTCCAATGGCATTTGAAACAGAACTGTAGATAATTAGAGCTGGATTTTTTTTTTTTTTTTTTTTTGGTGCCAGGGATCAAACTCGGGACCTTGCACTCGTGAGGCAGGCGGCAGAACCACTGAGCCAAATCCCTGGCCCTAGAGCTGGATTTGATCATCTCATTTCACATGATGAGAAATGACCCCCAAAGCATAGCATAGCTGCCTCAGAGGTGCAGCTGGCTCATTGTAGCGCCAACACTACAACAGACCAGTCAGTACACATACCTTAGACTTCAAAAAGTGAGGCAGCCGGGGATTTAGCTCAGTGGTGCCACTGCCTGCCTGGCAAGCACAAGGTCCTGAATTCAATCCCCAGTACCGAAAAAAAAAAAAGTAAGGCAACCATGTGCTGGAGCACTTTTATTACCCTGAATATAATTAGAGATGTTTGAAATTTTGTGAGCATATAACCTTAAAACATCAATCTGGATTCGTATCTGGATTAAAATTACCTTTCATTTTAATATAGCAAGATTTAACACTGAATCAGAAATGTATAGATCTATATGAAAATATTACGTAGCAATATATGCAATAAATAAATATTCCAGACTAGGAAGACTAGTATATATTAATTTGTCTCATGTTTTTAAATTAGTTCATAAATAATCCAAATATGAATTTTATTTTGTTTTTAACTTGACCTCGTTATTTTAGTATGAGAAACAATAAGCCTATAAGAAGATCAAATTAAGCATATTAAAAAATGGTTTGGTTGAGGAAGGGAAAAGACATGCCTAATTCTAAAGTTAAAATGATAGTAAAAGCTATAATACCTTAAAACTTGTCATACAGGGCGGGGAATGTAGATCAATAGCACTGCACCTGCCTGGCAAGTGCAAGATCCAGAGTTCGATTCCCAGTACTGGGAAAAAAAAAAACAAAAAACAATTTGTTGTACAAATTCAGCATTAGATCAAGTTAATCAACACATTTTTAATGTACTAGACATTTGGTAGTTGGTTAATAAGTATTGTTTATTGAATGAGTAGAATATAAGTAGACTCAGACACTTAGGAAATTTAACATATATATAAATAGTGCCATTTCAAATCAGGTGGAAAAGCTAGACTATTCAGTAAATGTTGCCAAAACACTAACCATCTGAAAAAATAAAGTTAAGTCCTTACATTATGACACACACCAAAATAAATTGAGTGGATTATAGGTTTAAGTGAACAAGAAACAACTATTGTGGTATTAGAAGAAAATACCAAATACTCATTAAACCTTTGCAGTAGAAATGGAACAAAAGGAAGAGAACCCCTAAGGCAAAGATTCATAGATTTGATTGCATAAATATATAAATATATAGAACTTTTATCAAAACAGACACTGAAAATCAAAAGAAAAGTTCCTGTAGAAGAAAAAGGATGGATGAAGTGCTAGGTTTTTGATTGTTACCATATAAAATGTCACTAGAATTATATTTAAACTGACAAATATATTCTTGACATAAAGTTTCAAAACCTTATTGGAAATGGTGTGTTTTGTTTTTTCATTTTTTAATACAGGGAAATTTAAAATTTGTAGTAGATGGTGACACGCCTCTTATTGAGAATGGCAAGGTTGTATCTATCATAGCAGAACTGCTCTCTACTAAGACAGACATGGTTGAGAAAGCCCTTCTTTTCCGGACTGTGGCCACAGGCCGTGACATAATCGACAAGCAGCACACAGAACAAGAAGCTAGCTATGGCAGAGATGCCTTTGCCAAGGTGAGATTTTACTTATGAGCCTTGAGCCTATGGTGGATCTCAGCTGTAGCACGAGCAAAATCCTGTGAGAGGTATCCAGACATCCCTTGACTCCAGCCTAAGGCCTTTAGAAACTACAGTGGTACCTCAGTTCATGAATTTAATTCTTTCCATGATTCTGGTCACAAACCAAATTGGTCATGAACCTAGTCAAATTTCCACATAAGGTCAACATTGAACCTAACTTTTGAATTTGATTCGGTTCGCAATCAATTTGGTTTGGACCAGAATATTTGAAAGAACTAAACTCATGCACTGAGGTACCCCTCTATGAGTGGGACTTTCTGGATATCACAGGCTTAATGAAACTCCCTGACCGAATGTCACTGTCAGAAAAGCAGATCTGACCAACCATGGGAATGAGGGACTCAAGGCTGTTATCTTAGCATGGTCTGGCTCCAGCCTGCCTCTCTTGCCTCATTTCATACTGTCTTCCAGGCACCTTTTCTCATTCCAGCACATTAGTCTTTGAAGCCTCACAAATTACTTTTATCTCTTTCTTCTTCCAGCCACGGGACCTCTGCAAATGTTATTTCCTCTGTGTGGATTGCTCTTCTCCCCTCTTGCCTTGCTACCATTTACTTACCCTGCTGACCTTAGCCCAAGCATTACTTTCTGTAAGAAGCTTTCCCTGCCCCCCAACACTGAATAAATTAGATTTCCCTCAGCTGCCACGCACTGTTTCTTTAGCATGTGTGAATGAGTGTGTGAGAGAGTGCGTGAGTGTGTGTATGTATGATTTTTTTCCTTCACCCTTCTCTCTAGACCTTTTGGAGACTGAAATTGTGTTTGTGTTCACTTAGTAGTGTGTCTCCAACAAACTGCACACAGTAAATCCTCAGCAAATATTTATTGGATGAATATATGAGTTCCCAAGTGTCTTGGGCAATTTATTTGGGACTCAAAGAAGGGTAAGAACAGTTTTCGGAAGTGAAAAGATCAAGAGTCCTGATAGGACATGAGTTTGAAGTGGGTGTGAAAAGTCTACAAATCATTGTCAGGTACAGAGTCAAGCCCTGAGTTCAGAGCCCAGAGACTTGGGTCTGAGTTGTGGTAACACTTTTGGGAGTCGGATTATATCAGTATCGTGTAACACTGAGTGGGATAACTCAGAAGGTGTTAGAGAGTGAGAAGAGAATCAGGAAGAACTCCAACTTTTAGCAGTCAGGTAGAGGCGACCCTACCAAAGGTCACCCAGAAGGTCAACCAGTAAAACAGAAAGGAAATTAAGAAAGGGTGATGTTACGAATCCCAGAGGGGAAAATGCTTTGAGAGTAGGAAACTAAGTTGAGTGACATGGAGAAGCTAAGATGTCCACAGACTACAAAAAAGTTTCTGTACAGAAGTACTTGGGGTCCTTGGTGAATCATGTCAGTGAAGACTGGAGAGAGTTGGAGAATAAAGGGGTGGTGAAAATGGGAAGAGAGTAGGTGCCTGGGGAACATGTCTGGAAAAGGCTTTCCAAAGGTGTAACATTACAGAGCATGGTGTATCAGGACATGTATGTGTGCTGTGTGTGGCATCTTTCTCCATGTGCATCGTAGAATGTGTGTCCTTGGGTGGTGGATGTATGTTTGATTCTCAGGGAATTTCTGAGTCTCATGGTTCAGAATCTTATTTATGATTAGAAATCAGTATTTCTATTTTTAGAACTCAGAGCTTTAGTAGAGCATTAATTCAGTCCCCAACTTTTTATAGTTGATGAAATTAACAATGAAGTGGCTTAGACAAGAAATATACATATTATTAATGTAGTGCGGCATGGAGACATGCCTGGGGAACATAGTTGGGATGTATGTAGTAACTGATAGTCTTTTAAAAATCCAAATTACTAGCTGGCATGGTGGTACATATCTATAATCCCAGCTACTCAGGAGGCTGAGGTAGAAGGATGGCAAGTTTAAGCTCAGGCAACTTAGCAGGACCTTGTCTCAAAATATTTTAAAAGGACTGGGGATGTAGTCAGTGACAGAGGGCTTGCTTAGCATGTGTGAGGCCCTAGGTTCCATCCCAGCACTGCAAAAGAAAAAAATATCCAAACCATTGATACTAAATAGTAAGAGATGGTAGACAAGAATTTGAGACATCACAAATTCAAACAAAGATCTTTTAAGCAGGCAAAAATTTACGGTGTTATTTTCCTCACAGGCAATATATGAGCGCCTTTTTTGTTGGATCGTCACTCGTATCAATGACATTATTGAGGTCAAGAATTATGACACCACAATCCATGGGAAAAACACTGTGATTGGTGTCTTGGATATCTACGGCTTTGAAATCTTCGACAACAATAGGTAAACTAGTTAAGATACTTAAAACCTTGTTAATTTTTTTATTTGTTTAAATCTAATTTATCCCTTTTCATGTAGCTTTGAACAGTTCTGCATCAATTACTGCAATGAGAAACTGCAGCAGCTGTTCATTCAGCTGGTTCTGAAGCAGGAACAAGAGGAGTACCAGCGGGAGGGCATCCCTTGGAAGCACGTGAGTGCTGGTGGAAAATATCTCCTGTGTCTCATGTGCTGCTGATAAAATTATTGAGCTTATCCTTCTAGGTGTTTCTTGATCTCTTTGGGTACTTAAAACATCTGAACCTTAGCTTCCCTTTTTTGGGATATGTAGATCCAGTTCATTGTCATGGATATTGGTGGATTTCTCCAATTTGATAGACTCATTCATTAGTGCCCAGAACATGCGGGGTTACAACCAGTAAATTTAATGTTGTCACCATATGGCTGGTTACCACATGGGCTTCTTGGTTCATATGTGTCTACTAGAATTTTAGAGCGTTTATATGTGGTATGATCTAAATATACAGTGAATGTTTAAATTTTTAAAAAAATTATTACAGTAAAAGACACATTGATGCCCCTCAAGATCCTCCATCTCACTTTGAACACACTTATCCCATTGTTCTCGGCACTTTCTGATGCAGTTCTGGAAGTCTTCTTTCATGACTATCTTTATTTGCACTGTCATGGTTGCTTCCATGTTCTGAATCAATTCAAAAAGTTTACCTTTCATGTCATTTTGACTTTGAGGAAGATCCAGAAGTCACACAGTGCCAGATCCAGTGAATAAGGTTGATGAGGACATATTGTCATGTTTTTATGAGCCTGCCTTTCTGTTGGATGGCACTTGGCGACTATGTGTACTGTACAGTGTTCTTTATCATACTTCATAAAGACATGAAAGAGGACCTCCAAACCCCAGAGATCATGGCTGAAAGGAATGACTTGTTTGGATTCCTTATCCCCTATGATTAAATCTTCTACTCACAAGAGAAATAAGACTTACTAATTTTTCTTTTTTTTTTTTGTACCCGGGATCAAACTCGGGACCTTGCACTTAGGAGGCAGGCACTGGAACCACTGAGCTAAATTCCTGGCCATTCTTATATGTACTTTAAAACAATTTCAGGAATGGACTGGAAAAGTGCTAACTTCCAAGTTTCCATAAGTTTCTGAGTATAAAACTATTTATCCTCTTGTTACACAATAAAAATAAAGTTAATATTTATTTTTCTATATCCAGTGTAATAGCAGTGAAAAGCCTATTTGAAATGGCATATTTAAATTACCTTCACATTCCTTCCTAGCCTCCTATTTTTCTCTTTTCTCTCTTTCAGGAAAAAAAAGTACCTTTCTTGCCTCAAATTGCATCTTTGCCTTCCCAAGTGTTAAACATTAAAATACCATAAAAACATTTCATTAAAGTGTATTAACATTGGGCCAGGGATTTAGCTCAGTGGTTCTGCCGCCTGCTGTGCAAGCTCAAGAACCTGAGTTGGATCCCCGGTACCAAAAAAAAAAATGTACTAACATAAATTTTACCTACTTACAAATAAACCAAAGAGTTATTAGTCACTTTATAAAAGAGCTACCTGTAGTTTGAGTTAAACAATCAACTCTTATAGCACATTTAAAGTGTAATTCAGCTGGCCATATGGTGGTGCATACTTTTAATCCCAGCACTTGGGAGGCTGAGGCAGGAGGATCGCCTCCAGTTCGAGGCCAACCTGGGCTACATAGTGAGTTCAAGTCCAGCCTGAACTGCATAGCAAGACCCTGTCTCAAACCCCACAAAAAACAAACAAAAATTTAATTCAATTCAATTAAGTTTAAATGAAGCTTTCTAAGAATGAATATGCTGTATAAGATATAACTGGAGCTTTGATTTTTTTTTAAAGCAAATTTCATTATAAAATTTGTTATTCAGATATGATCCAGAGGCACTGGCCAAAATATCCTTTAACAATCAGAGTGTCAAATCCACAAGCAAATTTTATCTAAAACTTGTCATTCAAATTCCACAGGCGTAGCAGATAAAGCTGTTGCACAAAGCTGTTGTGTTTAGAGAGGGAATGGGAAGGCAGAGTCCCATGCTCCTAGGCTACTCCATCACATCTCTCCTGGCTCCCTGTACCCTAAGAAACCTCCTGGGCCTGCCAGTTTATTGGAGGAACCTTGTTTGAAAGCCACTGCCTTAAGCAATGTTTGAAGCAGCCTTAAACTTCTAAGAGTCACTAGAATACACACCAAACACCAACAGCTTCTAGTAATGCAGTTGGAATTTTAATTTTATCCTGGGACAGAAGACTTGCTCTTTAATTCTGTAGTCCTAAAGTCTAAGATATCAACTATTTTTTTTGCACTTTATTAAATTCTTTTATTGGTACATTGTAGGTATACAACACAATTACATTTCTCATTGGGAATTGTACCTTTACATAATGCATCTTGGTTCTTATTTTTTCCCCATTCCTAGCCCTCCCTTCACCCCCTCCACCCTTCCCTATTTACAAAGTCTTTATTTCCATTTCTCATCATTTTTCCTTTCCCTTCTTTCCTTTCCCCTGCCCCTCCCACTACCCCTAACCCTTTGGACCTTTTCTTCCTATTTTGCATTATCGATTATTCATTCTAATCATTGGTACATTTTAGGTATACAATATAATGACATTCATCATTGGAAATTTGCATCTTTACATAGTCTCTCTTGGTTCTTATTTTTCACCCTTGCCCAGCCCTCCCTTCAACCCCTCCAGCCCTCCCTATTTACAAAGATTTTGTTCCTGTTTTTCCATTTTCTCATATTAATCCCACTCCCTTCTATTCTTTCCCCAGCCCTCCCACTTCCTTCCCCTTTGCCCCTTTTCTTCCTATTTCACATTACCTATTATACATTTAGTCCTTATTTACACTTTCAGTTTCTCACACCAGAGAAACTTTGGTATTTATACATGTGTGTCCTATTTATTTCACTTAAAAGTATAAGATATCAACTATTAACTAATATAGAATTCCTGCTTCTTTGAGTACTTTTAGGATATTTTATCCAGAGATGGAAATAACTTTCCACTCCATTTGGAAACATAATAGATGCCTACAATAAACATAACTATTTGAACAGGGCTTCTCCACATTCCTAGTCCGTGGGACAAAAGAGAACTCATAAGACTAGGAATGGAGGTGAAACCCACAGTCAAATAACTGACATAAGTCGTTGGATTTTAAAGCATGGAGCAGGAGTATATTTGGCACTTTAGTGTTCGATTATAAGTAGATAGACCTTACGGAAGGTGAGGGGACAGTGCCCGGTTTAGGTACATTTTGTGTGAGATGGGACATGTTGCACATAAGTCTGAAATGTTTGATAATAAACTGCCCACCTTTGTGACACACATCTTGCCTGCATTAGGCCAGGGTGTGCTGTCCATGTGTGGTCAGAGGTATGCTACAGACTGTCAGAATAAACACATGTAATAGAGGATTTTTGCCCAAACCTTGTATATATTGAAGTTGATAAAAACCAGAAGTTATTTATAACTTCACTCAGTTCACAAAAGTAAATGAAAAGTGTATTATCTTTTATAGATATTTACATCTCAGAATTATTTTTAAATACTGTATTCAGAAAATGTCAGAATTCTGTTGGACTCATATGCTTTTATTTTAACTTTCAGAAAACTAGAGGAAATGCTTTTTTGTTGTTAGTTGCTCAGTCTCATGTAACCAAAGCTGCAAGTTCCGTGTAATACTTTAAATTCATTATCAAGTAGAATATCAAATAATATATTAAGGTTGTGTGTTGGCATTTAGCGGAAGCTGGATCTTGTGGTTCATTGCAAACAGATTAGGGGGCTAAGAGTGTGAAGAAGTAGGGTTGGGTGTGAAATATGGAGACAGTGTTAAAACAGGAATTCGTAAGAGGAGAAATGTTGCCAGCTTAGAATTTATGACTTGACCCATCCTCATCTCTGACAAGATGTCTCATAATATAAAGTTAAGAAAGAAATTAAATGGGAGGCTGAGACAAGAGGATCACAGGTTTGAGCTCACCCTGAGCAACTTAGTAGCTTAGCAAGACTTTGTCTCAAAATGAAAAATAAAGAAAGAGCTGGGAAAATAGTTCAGTGTGAAGGTCCTAAGTTTAATCCCCACCACCGCAAAAAAAAAAAGAAAAGAAAAAATTATAAAGTCCATTAAAATATGTGTTTATTTTAATGTTATACCTCATTAATGCTATTCACATATTTGACATCAGAATAGCTTTACTTAAGCTCCTGAAACAAGTAGGGCAACCTTTGTATGTGACCTGCCCTGGTCTCTTGGACATTACTTCCTTGCTGTGTCCCACAGATTGATTACTTCAACAACCAGATCATCGTGGACCTTGTGGAGCAGCAGCACAAGGGCATTATCGCAATCCTAGATGACGCCTGCATGAATGTTGGCAAAGTCACCGATGAAATGTTCCTGGAAGCACTGAACAGTAAATTGGCCAAACATGGCCATTTTTCTAGCCGAAAGGTAATGTACTCAATATGACCTTCCTCTCAATTTGGTTGTGTAAGATTTTGCTCACTGTTTGACAGAGTTAAATGAATTTATATCCTAGGTTAAAAGAATGTCCACTCTAATAAGAAGAGAGGCTGGCTATAAACATCCATTAATTGATTTGTTGCTGTGGTTAGGTTCTGCTGGTCTGGTTTATAGAATGGCAAGATTGATAAAATCATAGTATCCAGGAGAGGGAGCTCCAGACTATCCCATGTGATGGAAATAGGAAAAATGAACACGGTTCTTCAGAAAGCATGATGTCATTTATAGCCAATAGGTGCAGAGTCCTTGTTCATGTGCTAGAATTTTACCCCTGTATCTGATAATTCTGGCACAGAATATAGCTTTTGTCCTTGACTTTACTGTAATCCTCATGTGCAAAATGTGATGTGTGCTCTGCTGTGGACCTTCAGACTGTGTGACTTCCTAAAAACAGAAATTCTAATTGTAATTCATGTTGTTACAGGGAAACTTGTCCTTTCAGTGAATAGGTAGCCTTTTAACTCCCTGTTTTTCACAATCTAAAAATGTCACAGGGCCAGGGATTTATCTCAGTGGTTTTGCCTCCTGCTGCACAAGCTCAAGGACCCGAGTTTGATCCCCAGTACCAAAAAAAAAAAAGGTCATAAAGAAACTGCATTTCTGTAATAATTGGTGGCAATTGTGGTGTTCAGACCTTTGTGCCAGGCTTTGCGTGTAGTATATTTACCATTAGTATTTGTTTAGGATCTTTTTTGAGGAGGGGCACACCCTCTTCACCCTCAGTCTCCCCTACAAATACAGGTTTGTTTTGCAACCAGAAGCTGAAGGAAGACAGGCCCTAATCCTTCACATCTGTAGGAAAGGGACAAACATTTCTGCTCCTCTGTAACATCATGTATATCTGCACTGCTTTTTTTTTTTTTTAGCATGAATAAATCTATTTTCTGTGTTCCCTTTGAAATTATGTAATTAGAACAAGGAAATTCTACAATTAACTAGATAAAGCATAGAACATCAAGAAAGTGATTACTAGCTACTATTTATTTCAGGCCAATATTTGTGAAATATTCTTCTTGGTCTGTTACTGAGAACTGACTTGTAACCTGCCACAATTTGTCCTCCAGACACGATACACAGATCTTTGATGTAAGAGGTCTTCATTAGAGGTATTCCTTTAGTCATTCCCCAATTTATACCCCAGATATTTAATGCATGCCTCTCATTTTCAGGTGCAGTCCTCAGTGCTGGGGACAGAGCAGTATGCCAAGTTAGAAGCAACCTAAATAATTTACAGTGATGCATTTAAAGATGGCACAGCTGCACAGGTAGATGTCCTGTCTTTGAGGGATAGTTCATAAACTCCCATTGTAAACACAGTTCAAGTTTGGGAGACTCATCTAGCATTGTGCCTACCAGGTGCTAGATACTCAGTCAATGTTTATAAAGTTGCATTGAACTGGTCACAGACATACTCAACAAATATTATTTAAATCTTCATGAGTAAATGGATATTAATCTCACATGAGAAATCATATCCACCTCATGATATCTTTCATCTTCACCATTTATATACCTGAATAGATTCGTCAACTAAATATTTTGAAATACAATCTTGTTCTTAAGAGCAACTATATATAGTACTTTTAAGCACTTGCCACACTGATTTGATAGTAAATGCTAAACAGTAATTTATCTATGAAGATCTCTCTCTCTCTCTCTTTTTTTTTAATTATGGAAACTGTGGTTCTCCAACTCTCAGACCAACTGGCTCTTTTTACTGGCTTCCCTGGGACAAGTACTCAGATTGCCTAATGAAGGGGAAAAAAATAAAACAACCAAGCTGTCAAGATATTTTAATCACTATGAACCTTTTTATTAAATAAATGTCATTATCCTGTTTGTTGAACCAGGTATTATCATTTGCTACTGGTTACTGATTAACTACACTTAATGGCATATTAAAAGGGTTTCTGGCTAATGACAGTTATTACATTTAGGAGCTAAACAGTTTCTTACACATTAAAGTTATCATGAAGAAGCATGCAAATGGTCCAATAAACCATAAAATATTTTTTAAAAATTAAATGAGAAAAGCATAACTTTTTAAAAAATAAAAATCTAAAACTTTCTATGTTCGGGTAATTTGAAACTTTGCAGTATATCCAAATGGAACAATATTCCATTAATGTCACCATCACTTGGGTTCTTTTGCTTTACCAGTTTATAAATAGAAGAGTTTTTTTGTTTTGTTTTTTGTTTTGGTACCGGGGATCAAACCTGGGACCTTGCTCTTGTGAGACAGGCACCTGGAACCACTGAGCTAAATCCCCAGCCCTAAACAGAAGAGTTTTATAAAAGGGGTTAGTTGGAAGAAAAGAGAAAATGCATATTGTAGTGATTCCTCTATGTGTTACATGCGTTGGTCTCCATAGTTCGTTTAACCCTCGTAGCAACTCTCTGAGATAAGTAATATTAAAGGAGGCAGAATGAGTAGATGGTAGAGCCAAGATTTGAACCTCAGAAGTCTGTCTCTAATTTCCTGCAATTGTTCACTTGTCAAATTAATAGGCTAATTGTTCCTTTAGCAGTCTGGTTATCGGTGTAAAGCCCGCCATCCTGATTGGAGCCTTTTGCTATCTGACATTGGAATCTGAGTGGTTTTTGTATGTAACCACACATGGTGCTGTGTGGATTTTCAGATGTCTGCTTTAGAGCCAACAGGCTACCCAGTGATCCTTCACAGGGCCGACACAGTCTAAGTACAGGTGTAATAAGGAAGACCGCAGAAAGTGCAGAGACCTCTAGGGCCCTTCCAGAAACTGCCCTTCCATAAATTATTCCCCCACTTCAGTGAGAAAGAGCTGCAGAAGATTGACCTTCTGTGAAGAGGCAGACCTGAACTGGAGTCCCAGCCCAGCAGGCTGATGAGCCAGGCCACTGTGTACATAGAACACAAACATTACATTCAGTTTCATGAGTTCTTCCCAGAGCTACCACTGACTAGCTGTGTGATCTTGTGTCAGTCATTTAGCTCAGTGGTGGCAAGCCTATGGCACGCATACCACAGCCAGATGTTTGTTATCATTGAAAGCTCTAAAAGGTTCGCCATCACTGAACTAGCCCCTCTGAGCCTCAGCCTCCATATGTGTAAAAGAAAGATCATAATACAATGCTTACTTTAAGTGTAGATTGTGAGGGATGCTTAAGATGTATGTGCCTAGTGGATAGTAATCCTTCAGTGTGATCCTCCTTAATCGAGTCTTTGTCAGTCAGAGTTGACTGGGCTGCATTAAGATAGTAACCAAGATTTGACAGTCAAAAGAAAGTAGATGTCTTTTTCTCTCTCAGGGACCCAGATGTTCTTCCAACATCTGGCTAACCCATCCCCTAAAGACTACTCTGCATCCATCTGTTACAAAAAAGGTCACTCACTTCTTACCAGCCTGGGAGTGGAACAGCCACACTTCACTTCCATTGTCCAGAACTTGGCCACTGGGCCTTCTCAACTGCAAGAGTGGCAAGCAAATGAAGTCCAGCCAAGTGGATTTCTGACAAGAATTCAGTCTTTACCACATAAGCCAGATACTTAAATCAAGCCCCACACGATGTGATTTTATTCATGATATCATGATCTGTGACATTATGGTCATCCTATATTAGGATAGACTACACCTTTAAGAAAGTGAAAATGTCTGTTTTCAAAATATTCTCCTTCTTGATCTCTTAGCTCTGTGCCTCAGACAAAATCCTGGAGTTTGATCGAGATTTTCGAATCCGGCATTATGCAGGTGATGTTGTGTGAGTATTTTACTTTGCTACCTAGCTAGCATGGTGATTTGCATGCGGCCTCACTTCAGAAAATGCAACCAGGGAAACTGTCAGCTCTTTTCATTTGCATTTTCCAGTCATTTCATATCCCAGTGTATTTCAGCTCTTCATTTGTGAAAAAATGGCATACCTCAATTCTTTCCTTGCTTTTCAAACATTTACTGAACACATACTATGTACATTGCAAGAAGAAAGTGTAGCACAAGGCCCAAGGGTGCGAATCTGCCATGTGAAGAACTAAGAGTAAGATGGATAACCACATAAGCAAAAGGTGTTTTACTATATTATTTTCAAATATATTTTAATTAATAAAATGCTTGCAAGACATATTTTCTGATTGCAGTGAAAGTAGAGATTGATATGAAAATATAACTACTTGGTATCTTAGATTCCAAGGGCTCCTGTAACAAATTATCCCAAATCAGTGGCTTAAAACACCAAGAACATATACTTTCACAGTTCTGAGGCCTAGAAGTTCCAGATCCAAGGGTTGGCAGAGGCCACACTCCCTCTGAGAGATGCCTCGAGAGGAGAATATGCCCCCTTTTCCAGCTTTTGGTAGTTGTGGGCATTGCTTGGCTTCTGATTGTGTCACTTCAGTGTCTGCCCCTGTAGCGCATTGCCTCCTCCTCTTCCATGTGTCAGTTAAACCTCCCCTTGCATTTATCTTAAAAGAATACTTGTCATGACATTTAGTACCCCCTGAATACTACAGGATAAGCTCCTCCTCTCTAGATCCTAAATGTAATCACATATTTTAGTATGGAAGCATACATTCCTGGTCCTAGGGAATTTAGTGTGGGTATCTTTTGTTTGAGGAAAGGGTCAATTTTGTATGTTTTCTCTATTCATTGAACACTGCTCTTCATATTGTCTTCTGAAGTGCTCTTTGCCTTTTTCCTTATTTTTCACATAGAAATTCTTTCCATGTAACCCATTATAGGAGGAGATTAAATAAGAAAAAAAGTCATTTCTATAAATGCTGAAAAGACATTTGAAAAATTTTAATAGCTATTCCTTATTTAAAATAAAAATCTAGAATCAGAAAATAACGTGACTTAAAATTATTATGCCAACTGTCAAACTAGCCATCAGTGCTGGAGGGGCATCACTCCACTTTCTCTGGTCCTTTTCCCAGGTTCCAGAATACCAAGGAGAGAAGATCCAGGACCATACAAATGCTCACTGAAAACTCAAGTCTCACTTGTTTAGGGTTCCGTCTTAAAATACTGAGTGGCATAAATGCAAAGCTGGACAGAGGGCCTCATGACCCCCAAGTCCAGCCTCTTTATTTTACAGTGTAATAAATTTATGCTGAATAAGTAAGGCTCTCACCCAGGATCACATAGCAAGTTTACAGAAGAACTCAGACAATGGAACAAGGTTTCCAGACTGCCAGTCCAGAACTCTAGCTGATATTCAATGTTTCTGGGTTCTCTTTCTCTCCTTAAGCCTTCCCATCTTTTTCTCGCTTTTTACTATCTTCTGTGTACACAATACTTTGTAAGGCATGGTGCCTGCCTGCAAAGAGATTTCCATGCAAGATTCATACATATGTATTTGTTTGTATTTCTGCACATATACATACATTCATGCAATAAAAGATGGCCTAAAATAATTGCCACGTGAATAATACCAAGTGTTGTCAGAATTCAGAGTAAGGAAACAGTACAATACTTTTAGATGTTTTAGTAAACCCAGGGAGGGTGATGTATCTTTGGATCCTGAGAATTATAAGGAGTGGGAAAGGTGCTAAGTAATATTCAGGAAGTAGCAACTAAGTCCCTTTAGTTAGGTTCAGTTGGAGTTATTCATTTTGTAGCACAGATTAGAAATACCTTGAAAAGTAGATTGAGGTCAAATCACAGTGAATCTTGAAATCTAAACTAAGGTCTTTTGAATTTTGAGTTGTTTGGGTTTGAATAAGTGAAGAGTCAGCTGAACTCAAAAGTTCAGTCAAAAGTGACAGGAAGGGATTAGGAAGAAGACCTCGGTTGAAGCAAGGAAGGAAATAATTGTGGACTTGGTGACCTTCAAATGTCTATGGGCAGCACAGCCTAAAAGAATTTTCTTGTAGAATTAATTATGTAAGGCAAGAGGTCAGGGCTAGAGACCTGAGAATTGTCTACATTGATGTGATTGTCAAGGAAGAAAATGTAGACAGGCAAAGGGGCAGAACTATAAGCAGAGGCTGCCCGTAGAGTTAATATTTGCTCAACTTCTAGCCTGTGCTTAATCACCCACAGCCAGTGTACTTCTACCCAGTGTGGAGTGTGCTCCTCCTAGAGGCCACACCAGTCACTGCAGCACTGCAGCTCCCACACTCACTCTTCTCATGGGTGCCATCTCAGCTGGACTTTCAACCCCTTACTCTCCCCTTCCTTCCAACCCTGAATCCTGGGCTCATTGCTTTCCAGAGTTTCTGTATGTGTGTGCTTCCATCCTTTCATTCTGTCGGTTTCCCTGTGTGATCTGTCTGCCTTTTTCTCCTCTGCTTACCTAATTCTCACCATCCTTTGCAGTTGTTCTTGGATTCTTTTATCCTACTCTGAACACTGAGTGATACTTAGGTGAGTCACTGACCTCCCAGCAGATGACACAATTAGTTCCTGTATGTTGCTTTTATTTTAGGAAATCAGAGTGATAAATACAGCTATCTTTTTAAAAGTCATCTTCTTGAGGTAAGCAATAACCTGTAGAAAATGATTATCTTAGAATGATGTGGTTGATGTTGGCTTTCCTTCTAAAAAGGAGAAACAAAGTCTCTCCTACTTAGCAAATTGAGTGTCCTTTAACCCAGAACTGGGTGGATTGTACCAGCTCTTTAGATAATTGATTGCATAGTTAACAGTGGAAGGGCTTGTAGACGTCTAGAAAAGGTTAGATATCCTCTTGTGTGGGAAATAACACATGTTGTCTGGTTTTTTTCCTCTGTTAGCTATTCTGTCATTGGTTTTATTGACAAAAATAAAGATACTTTATTTCAAGATTTCAAGCGCCTCATGTATAACAGGTATGGTTGATATTTTACTAATTATCTTTGCACTAAGTTCTTTGACATATATTGCATAATATATATGTACATAATTATTTTTTTTGTACATAATTATTTTTAATGTGACAATTTTAAGAGTTACCAGCAGACCCACTATTTCTACTTTATTATGCTTAATAAATGAAACAGTATAAGACCTTGGGATTATAAAACCAATAAACTTAGGCAAAAAGACCTGCTACTGATGTGATTTTCTTTGATTTCCCTTGGGAAGCCTCTGTTTCTGTTTCCCACAGCCAGCCTTCTGGAACCCCCTGCCCGTGTACTCAGTAGTCCCCAGGCCAGGCCAGTGGTGACAGAAATGTTAAGTAACCTTTGTCCCACCTGAAAGCTTTACATATTCAGGTTCCCCCCCAAAAAAAAAAAATTGGGCTGGAGATTAGCTCAGTGGTTCCAGCACCTGCCTCGCAAGCGCAAGGTCCCGAGTTCAATCCCCAGTACCAAAAAAACCCCAACATATTCAGGTTCCCATTGAAGTATCTTTGTGCCCAAATAAGAGACCTCTCTGAAGTCAGACTTGCACCTGAAGTCAGTAGGCACCAATCCTAACTGAGCAAACACTTTTCTCACTAATGAACCACGTGTAAAAAAGCTGGGCAAAATAAAACAAGGCAAATGATACAGGTTTAAACTCAGTATGTTGAGAAGGCTCATAAAGAAGAAAGAATTCTTGATGAGCTTCTTATAGATTAAGAAACTGTATTTACTTATTTATTAAATCTGTTCAGTCAGTTGGTGGGTAATTAACAAAAATGTATTAACCACCTTTGTGCCACACATTCTTCTGTGCTCTGGGATACAAAACAATTTAGGCAACACCCCTGCCTTCATGGAGCTTATAGTCCCAAGGAGATGACATTTGTTAAATAAGCAAATAACTTTTCAGGTATCACAAGTCTTACGTAGAAAAATAAAGTAGTAAGAGATTAAAAGAGTACCAATGAGGAAGGGCAGGGAGGCATTGTAGACTAAGTGGCCTACTAGAGGTGACATTTGAGCAGAGATCTGAGTGAAGTAAGGGAAGGGATGCCGGTATCTGGAAGAATAGCATCCAGGCAAAGAACAGCTGATACCAAGGGCCTAAGGTAGGAATAAGCTTGAATGTATTGACAGTAAGAAGATCAGTGTGGCTAAAATCACAATGAGGAATGCAGAGAGTAGTAGAGAGTGAATTTAGAGAAGTGAGCAGAGCTTGGATCATAGTCTGGGAGCCAAGGTAAGGACCAAGTATGAAGAGGAGCCACTGGAGTTTATGATGTGATGTGATTTATAGTTTAAAGAAATCACTAGAGCCACTCTGCAAAACACATCCTGTGAAGGACAAGAATGGAAATAGGGAGACCAGTTAGGAAGCTAGTTTACTAATCGAGGTTGAGACTCAAGCAGCAGCGATGGAGATGATGAAAAGTAGTCAGAATGGGGTGATATTTGGAGAGCTAGCAGGATGTACTGATGGATAGGATAAAGGCAGAAATCAAAGATTTTTCTGAGCCTGATATGAGAAGACGAGGTGGGGAAATGAAGAGTTTTGTTTTGGCTATGTCACGTTTGAAATACATATTGGGCAGCCAATTGAAGATGCCAAGTAGACAGTTGCATGTATGCATCTGGACCTCAGGAAAGATGAGGCTAGAGATATAAATTTGTGGTTGTCAGCATATTGATTGTATTTAAAACCTTAAGACTCTATGGGGTGATCTAGGGAGTGAGTATAAAGACTAATCCCTGAGACACTCCAACATCTAGTCAAGCAAAGAAGGAAAGACTAGCAAGGGAAACTGAATGTTCCAATGAGGTAGAAAGACCAGGAAGTCCAGCCAAGGAAAAAATGCTTTAAGAAAAAAAAACTTATAAACTATGTCAGATTATACCAAAAGCAGGAATGATACAAGGACCAAGATTCACCTTCGTATTTGCTAATGTAAATGTCAGTGGGACTCTTGACAACACTGTTTCCGGGGAGCAGTGAAGTCAGATGTCTGACTGACATGGGCTCGGAAGGACACAGAAATGGGAATATAGAGACATGATATTTAAGCAGTTCTGTCAGGATAATTTGCTAGAAGATGGTTTATTTTTGTGAATGATGAATTCACCAAGAATTGTCACTGTAAGAAAGATACGGAGACATAGGAAAAGGGGTCCATGTAAGAGGCATACGAAAAAGCTCCATTTATCAAGTAAAATGCACCCATTTTGAGGAACATAACAGAGTCTAGCATTTCTCCAGTAGAAAATGGTAAAAACTCAAATTGGAAAAACGGCCTGATTTGGCCAGTGGCGGTGTCACAGTGTGTTGCTAGACTTGTGGACCAAGAGGGTACACAAAATGATACGCTACCTTGGTGACTTTAGTGACTTTGTCATGACCCTGAGATTCTGCTCAGCCGCTGAGAATAGTTGTAGCTTTTAATGGTGGACTAGCATCACCCAAGTTCACAGGACCAGTGCAGGAACAAAGCAGTATGTGGATTTATTTCTAGTGAAAAATCTAATAGTGACATGGGATGGAATACTTGTACTGGTGTGACAGGCTACTTTTCCCTGTTGGAAAACCTCCTTGAGAAGTCAAATAGCAGTGAGAACTCTCATTAATTAATTGACAGTGAAAAATGTTATCTGTGGAATCCAGGCTGCTTAGTTGCTTGGTAAGTGCCATAAGAACAAAGGAGCTTAGATAAATCTAACAATTAAAAGACATCAGGCTAAGTTGAATCCATTTTATAATGGGGCTGGTCTTGCCAAAGGGGTAAAAACTTGAAAGTCTGTTGACTGGAACTAATTTCCTGTGTCTCCATAATGGGAAAGCCCTAGCCTGTGAGATGGGAAGTCTTGAAATCTTTTCAGTTAAAGCTATATGCCTAGATGATTTTTTTTTTTTTTTTTTTGAGACAGGGTCTCAGCTATATAGTTCAGGCTGGCCTTGAACTCCTAACAATCCTCTTGCCTCTGCCTCCTCAGTGCTGGGATTACAGGCATGTGCCATCACACCTGGCTCAACCTAGATGCTGTTTAGATAGATGGGCCATCATTACCTCTAGACACTTTTTGATACTTCAGTGGGTAACTCAAAATTTGATTCTATTTTTTGTTTGTATATGTTAATATGATCCTTGGATCTCTAGTTCTGTAGACGGTGTGTCACTTGTGTGTGTGTCTGTGTGTGTGAGAGAGGGAGAGAGAGAGACAGAGGGAGACAGGAGAGAGAGAGAAGTCGGGGGAGATCTGCCTTATCTTTTATACAAACTGGGTTTCTGGATACATTCCCTTTTAAGAAAAAGGTTCTGATATTTATGATGCCTGAAAACATTTTGTTAATTTTACATTCATGACTTCCTGGTTTGAAAGTGCATCCTCTTAAAATGACTCTTACCAGTCTACTTGGATTCCTTATGTTTCTGTTCTATTTTAATATATGGTCTTATTTCCTTTATTTTCAACCTTCTCCTTCTTCCATTTATAATCATAGTATGAGAATATCCAAATATGGCCAACAGTAAGATAAAGAAGGATTTGGGCTTGGCCTGGTGGTACAGGCCTGTGATCCCAGCACTCAAAAGGCTGAGACAGGAGGATGACAAGTTCAAGGCCAGCCTGGACTACCTAGTGAGACCTTGTCTCAAAAGTCCAAAAAACAAAACAAAACAATTTGGAGTAGTAGAAACTGCCTAGACCTAAAGCCAGTGATCCTTAATCTTTTGGCATATGTTAGAATTTTCCAAGTACACAAAGATGGTTTTCTAACTTCTGGAAATTCTGTTCAGTAGGTGTGCAAAGAGGATCCAGGCACTATGTGCACTACAAGTGCAGAAACATTACCTTAAATTATCTCTCTGTTAAAAATAAGAATGGAAAAGTTAAAGGAAAAACAGTATTCATTTATTTGGCCATGTTTATTGCTATAGATGTACAATTGGGAAGTTATGGAATGGGACTGGATCCAAGAGCCGTAGATCACTGCAGTGACAGTGAGGGCAGGAGTGTTGCTCTGTCTGCATTCACAGACCCTGACACTCCTGCATCCCCCTTACCTTCTACACTCTGTTGTCCTCCACTCTTCTCTCTTGCAGCTTGTAGCAGAAATTTACTAGGTGCTTTGGAGAACCAACTCTGTTTTCTCAGTTTTATACAGGGGAAGGAAAAGTGGGCAAAATGATAGCAGTTGTAAGCACAGTTAGCAACAAACACCCATATTCTCTTCCTTTTTCAACCTTCAAATTTTTAAGAAAAATGTTTATGACAAGAGGAGAGTTTCCAGTAACCAAGCCACATTTTAAATTCCAATTACTTTAAAATGAAAAGCACCTAAAATGAAACAGGAAGAAAATCACAGTTGAGATCTCCACATGTTTAAAAAGTATCTCTCCACAGAGCCAAATAATGAATATATGCTTTTAGACAGAAGTTGGCCCAAAGTAAATTTTTAGAATTGGAATGCAACAGTCCTAGTGTCATATCAATTAGATACCGTAACTGCCAGTACTACCTGTAAATGTGTTCATAAACTCAACTGCAGTGAAGGAATCTGCTGTAAGACAATGTAAAAATGGTTATTTTATATACTCATCTGTATTTTTAGGAAGAGATGCCCTTGTATTGTTACCTGTTCTGAGTATTTCTTTCAGTAACATTTTCTGCCATAATATTAAGGATCATTGTCCTACCAGTGGTTTGTCCAGCCATCCCAAAATAATTTGTTTATTGTAAGAGCCATGTTAAACATTGGTTTAGTTTTGAGGTAATATAGATGTAATTGTAAAGAAGTTTATATAATTTTTAAATGTGCTATCTCTTGGGAAAATTTGTAGAGCAGTATCAGTCATTATATCAGCATAATTTTATAGACAGACTTATTTTTCCAAGTAGGTCTTGTGAGTTCAGTCCCGTTGTGACTTCCACAATACAGTTAAGCAGAATTCCTTAGCCATTTTTATTCAGCTTATTTGAATGCAATATTTGAATTGCTTTTCTGTACTTCTCAGTTCAAATCCTGTTCTGAAAAATATGTGGCCCGAAGGTAAACTGAGCATTACAGAGGTGACTAAGCGACCCCTAACTGCTGCCACCTTGTTCAAGAATTCCATGATTGCTCTAGTAGACAATCTTGCATCGAAGGTAATTATTTTCTTTTCTAAATACCCATTTTAACTCATAGATTCCCTCTGGAAGTATGTTACAAAGAGTGTATGTATGATTTGCTTTTGGGGTATTATTTTTATCAAATTGAAGAATACATATTTAAAGTGAGGGTTATAATGGAACCTTTATTCCTGCTTTAAAGAAACTGGGTGAAATAATTGTTTGCATCCCAAAGCCATTCTTAAATTTGAGCTTTTTATTCTACTGTCATGATCAAGGGAGAAATCAATGTTATTTAAACTATAAGGAAGGCAAAATGAACTTTAGCCCTGTGCAGAAAACAGGGCATGGTAAAAAGAAAAACAATCTTGAATTAAATTGTAGTATACCTTCCATATGCAAATACTAAATGGCCAGCAGGCATTTTAACAATAAGTTAGTATGTTGAGTATTGTTCTTAGACTGTTTTAAATACATGAAATATAATGATAGATTATTGATAATTATTTCTCCTTTTTGTTGTTCTTTTGATTCTAATACTGCTTGATAAGCTAAGTCTGGGTTTCTCTCTTTCTTTCTTTATTTTTCCTTGAAGAACAGATTTCTACTCTTAACTGCTATTGTTGACAAGTTTGATAAATTAGGCAGCATTCTGGGATTCATTATTTTTAGTTCCTTCATTTTTATCTTTCTCTTCTGGTACTTTTCCTGTGTAGTTTCTTCTTTGTTATTTTCTTTTTTAAAAAATCAATTTCCTCTGTAAGAACTTAAATTTAGATCTATACTGTTACTTCACTGTGGATAAATTAGGCAAATGCCACTAGAGCACATCTGTTCAGTAGCTTTCTATTTCTTTTATCAAGATTCTTAGGCCTCAAGTGACAGGGAATAAGCATAGTTTGTTGGCTTGCATAATAAAATCTCCAGAAGGGCAGGGGTGAGGAGGACATAGGTGCAGGAGGCTAAAATACCACTAGGGCGCCTTACTCTTCTTACACACTTCTCTCTGCAAGTCACCTTGCCTCATCCAGCAAGGAGAAAAAGGAACCTAGAAGGAAGCCACGTGACCCAAAAAGACCTGAACACTGAACTATATTTAATGAACTAGAAAAAGAATTATTGTTTTGTTTTCTAAATTTGGTAAGTGTTCCTTTTTTAAAAAATTAAAACTCCAGAGGGCCAGGGATTTAGCTCAGTGGCACTGTGCCTTCCTTGCAACCACAAGGTCCTGAATTCATTCCCTGGTACCAATAAATAAATAAATAAATACTCTAGAACCTTCTATAAGTTCTGTATCAGGAATTGCATTTACCTTGTAGTGAAAGAGATCTCCAAAAGGAAGCCTACACAAGAGAAGTGTGTTTCTCTGTCCCATAGAAGAAGTATAGACGGCATCCCAGACTGCAACAGCAGCCCCAGTGTTTCTGGGGATCCAGATTCCTTTTGTGTTTCTGTTCCACTGCTCTTGTGCTTGGCATCCTTCCTTCTGTGGAGACAGTAGCTAGAACTTCTCTTTCTAGGAGACTTCCTGGAAGTCTCACAGAAGCCTCAGTTAGCTCTGTCCCCTTTGCTACACACAGGTGCCAAGGTAGCTGGAAAGGTTTTTTGTTTTGTTTTGTTTTAGTCTGGTCAGCAGTGCACCAATCTAGAAATCAGAATTCTGTTCCAACGTAGGAAAAAGTTATGAGCTGTAAGTTAGGCAACTAGCCTAGAATTCTTTGCCACAGCTTCCCAATTTGGTGGGAGGGGTGTTAGGGAAGGAGAGAAGGAGCAGGGCAAGCAAAAGAATATAGACAATGTATGTTGGGGGCGGGGAGTAAAGATAAAACATTAGATTCAGAAAATGCAGCTGGGTGTGGTGGCCCATGTCTGTAATCCCAGTACTGGGAGCCTGAGTTAGGAGGATTAAAAGTTCAAGCCCAGCCTGGGGAATTTAGCTACTTAATGACTCTCTCTCGAACTAAAAACTAACAAAGGGCTGGAGATGTAGCTCAATGTGAAGGTCCTAGATTCAGTCCCCTGTACTGGGGAAAGAAGGAGGGAGACAGGGAGAAAGAAAAGGAGAGAAGGAGGGAATAATATGGTACAGATACAAGGTATGATTGAAAAATATGGTGAATGTTTAAAGTTTTTTAAAAAATTATTGCAATAAAAGACATTGCTATTGGCCCGGGGATTTAGCTCAGTGGTTCCGGCGCCTGCCTCGCAAGCGCAAGCTCCCGAGTTCGATCCGTGGCACAAAAAAAAAAAAAAAAAAAAGAATAGTGGACTATTACTACATTATGGTTTGAATATTTAAGTCTTAAAATGGAAGTTTTTGCCACTTTCTGAAGCAGTTCTGGAGTCTTCCTTTGTGAATTTCTCAAGGTGCACTGTCATGGCACCTTTGATATCCTGAATTGATTCAAAATGTTTAGCTCTCGTAGTCATTTTGACTTTTGGGAAGAGCCAGAAGTCCAGTAGCACAAGATCCTGTGAATAATGTGGGTGAGGAAACACTGTGATGTTTTTATGAGGCTACCTTTTTGGTTAGGTGACATTCAGCAGCAGCATGAACCATAATTTTGATCATACCTCATAATGACAATCATGAAAGAAGACCTCTAGAACTGGTTTAGAAAGTGTCAAGAACCATAAAGCAAGGGGAAGTATTTTGAGGGAAATTAAGGGCAATGTGTCTTTTATTGTAATGATTTAAAAAATTTAAGTATTCACCATATACTTAAATCACACACATAAATCTATATAATTGTTATTCATCATAATTGTAAATCTAAATGGACAGCTAGATACGTGGAAAATCCAACTACATGCTGCTTACAGGAGACAACGTCTAAATAACACTATTCAGAAAGCTTTACTATAATGAGGTAGAGATGGAGAAAAATATAGCAAGCCATCCCACACAAAAAAATTATTGAAAGCAATATTAACCATTTACCAGTCCAATTATTAATATACAGGATAACCAAAAGATGCATATTTTTTCACTAATTTTATAAGGTAATATAGGAAATATAATAAGGACAATTTTATGAAATCAACTGGTTGAAATGACACCTGCCCGAGCAACACTTGGAATGCTCAGTATCTAAATAGACAGTGACAATATAAATAAAATAAACAGGCAATAATATAAAATAAAAGAAAACAGCAACGATATAAAAAAACCAGACAATATATAAACAGTCTAGTGATGCTCAGGGTGAACTGTTAAGTGGTTATGAAAAAGTAGAATTTAAAGGGCCGGGGATTTAGCTCAATGGTTCCGCTGCTTCCCTCGCAAGCACAAAGTCCCAAGTTCGATCCCTGGTACCAAAAAAAAAAAGTAGAATTTAAGGAAGTATTAACAGATATGAACTAGTAATCATGAAACAAAACTACCAAGGGCCTGGGATGTAGCTCAGTGGCACCACACCTGTCTGGCAAGCACAAGGTCGCAAGTTCGATCTCCGGTACTGGAAAAAACAAACAAACCAAAAATGCCAAAGACAAAACCATTTTGAACTGGATATCTAATAGCATAGCCATAATTATTATAAATTCTATAAAACCAAAACAAAAAAACCCTTAAAACATATTTAAAGTAAAACTGATAAGCTAGGCATGGCGGTACACACCTGAGATCCCTGTGTTCTGAGAGGCTGAGGCGGAAGGGTCACAAGTTTGAGCTCAACCTGGGTAACTTAGCAAAACCCTGTCACAAAATTTGTAAAAATATGAAAAGTCTGGGGATGTACCTCAGGCCCTGGGTTCAGTACTCAGTGCCGAAAAAGAGAAAAGGGGACTAGGGGAGAGAGAAAAGGAAAAGGAGAAGAGAAAGAGACACAGAAAGGAAGGAGGGAGGGAGAGAAAGAGATTGATAAGTCCACAATCATAGCGGGAAATTTAAAATCAGCTTTACCAAAAACTGATAGAGCAGACAAAAAAATTAATAAAAATACAGAAGCTTTGAAAACCAAATTCAAACTTTGTCTAATAGATCAAAAGAACCTTATATCTGAGGATTAGAAAACACATATTCCTTTCAAGTATGCGTGGAACGTTTATAAGAATTGACCACATGCTAGATCACAAAGGAAGACTCAACTATTTTGGAAGAATGTATATATAGATACATTCCCCATCCTCAAAGCAAATGAAATAAAAGCATTTTTTAAAGTTCCTGGGAACTTTTTTTTAAATGCTATTCTAAGTAACTCGTGGATTGAAGAGGAAATCACAACGGAAATTACAAAATATTTGGAACTGCTAGACAAAGAATGTGTCAAAATTTGTCGGCTACTGCTAAAGTGATCTATTTGGTATGCCTTTATAAAATAATAAGACTGGAAGTAAATGAGTTAAGTTCAGCTCAAAAAGCCAGAAAAAGCACTCCAAAAAAAACCTACGGAAAATAATTTTAAATAGCAAAATTTTAAAATAACAGAAAAATAAAAAATGTAGCCAAATAGACAAAGCTCTAAAATATTGATAAAGGAAGAATAATACTACGAATGAAAAAAGAGCTATAACTACAGATACCTAGAGATTTTAAGAGTAACAGCATATTGTGATTGGATGTAAATTTGAAACTTTAGTTTTTCTAGGAAAATGTATCAAAATTAATTCAAGAAGAAATAGAAAATCTGAATAAATCAGTAACTTTAGAGATTCTGAACCACTAATCAGATGTCCCTCAACTCTGACAAGGACATCGGACCTGGATGGTTTTACAGATAGATTTTATAAAACCTTTGAGGAACCAGTGATCCGTATCATGTGCAGACTGTTTTAGAAGATGAGAAGAGAGGCCACTATCCAACTCATTTTATGAGAGTAATCTATCTATCTATCTATCTGTCTATCTATCTATCTATCTATCTATCTATCTTTCTTTCTTATTTGGTGCTGCGGATCTCACTCAGGACTTTGCACTTGTGAGGCAGGCGCTGTACCACTGAGCTAAATCCCCAGCCCAATATTACTTTAATATAAGATGAATATGAGAAAATAAAATGAGAGTTAAGTTAACTTAGGAACATAGATGGAGAGAT